AGGGAAAGCATGGGAAATATATTTCACAGAAGTAAAGCCAGGGAAATATGGGTATAGGTATCTGTGGGTAATGGTAGATACCTTCTCAGGATGGGTAGAAACTTTCCCAATGAAACGGGAAACAGCACAAACAGTAGCTAAGATACTGATGGAAGAAATAATTCCCAGATATGGGATACCGGAAGTGATAGGGTCTGACAATGGGCCTGCTTTTGTGGCCAATGCAATTCAAAGCGTACTGCACTTAGTGGGAACAAAGTGGGAACTGCATTGTGAGTATAACCCACAAAGTTCAGGACAAGTAGAGAGGATGAACYGAACATTGAAAGAAACATTAACAAAATTAATATCAGAGACTGGTGGTGATTGGGTGACGCTCCTGCCTTATGCCATATTCCGGGTACGAAACACGCCGTATGTGATGAACCTAACACCATTCGAGATCATGTACGGGGCACCCCCGCCGGTATACCCTGTCAAACAGAAAGSGGGGGAGAARAAGGGTATACCCGGGGATATGATACAGGCAATGCGTGCAATAAAAGAAGTCCACAGGGAAATATATCCAGTAATCAGAGCCATATATGAACAAGGGGACCTACCCGAGGGGTCCCTGCATGATCTTGAAACAGGAGACTGGGTATGGGTAAAACGACATAACCCAAAATCGTTAGAAACAAAATGGAAAGGACCGTATGTTGTAATCCTTGTAACTCCTACAGCTCTTAAGGTGAACGGAATAGGCCCGTGGATACATCACTTGCATGTGTGGAAGGCCAGCCCACCGGACCAAGAGGAAGCCAAAAGGTGGGAAGTTCAACAGGATCCAGAAAACCCTCTGAGACTTCGGGTTAAACGGAGGGAGGGGGTGATTGCTGAGGATAACGATAATCGCACAAGCGAAAAGGGAAAAYCCGTTGAGACTCCGTCTCCAGCAGAAGAAGATGACTAATGGAACTCTGTTAATATTGTGGACATTATTGATGTTAGAGTTACCGAGCATCTTAGCGAATGTTGCGCAAATAGAAGTACGGGACAATTTATGGGTAACGTGGGCAAATATGACAGGAAACCAGGAATTTTGCCTGYCGTTGGCTTCGGCCACAAACCCGTTTAGAACATGTCTGTTGGTAAGCCAGGTTTTGAGGAGGAGAGCTTCAGGGCCTTCAGTGCAGGAGACTGTAGCGGGATGGTAAATGCCTCAGAGTGGGCAGTACAATTGATCAAAGGACTTACTGTCTCTCTGCCATGGGACCCACAGGAATTAAATTTGATGGGGGCTCAGGCAATTGGAAATGTTTCGGATAACTGGACCCAAACCTGTTTTATGTTTGGGGATAAGTATTATGGAGACAGAGGGCGCGCCGCTCTTCTGGCTCAGGTCGACASAGATGGACAAAGAGGTTTTGAGGAATACGCTGAAATGATGGGGTGGAATATATCCGGCTGGACTGATGTATCTCCAGACCCTGTATTTGATTTCTTTACATCCTATAGCTTTTGTGGAACTAATGACACTGCAGACCATATTATAATTGAGGAAGWAAATGACTATGAGGATTATAGAGTGGATTTGGGTTTTCCAGAATTAGGGGCTTATGGAACGGATTTGAACTGGCAGCCTAGGAAGATATCACTATTATGGTATAATCAAACTGCCAAGGCCCTTCCAGAAGGAGTTTTCCTTATATGTGGGGATAGGGCCTGGCATGGGATACCTAAGAATGCGTATGGAGGGCCTTGCTACCTAGGGCAGTTAGCTATGGTAGCCCCCTCCAAAGCCAAACTCCTTAACCTGAAAAATAGGCCCTCYCATAATAAACGGGCAGTTGGCCTCGCCCCGGACTGCGATGATAATGTACAGTTACTATCTGTATCAGCTCGAGTGGCGGTAGCTTTTTTATACCAGGAGCAGCAGCTGGTGCAGCTTTAAAGGCGGTATCGAAATTGACGTGCTGGAGGGAGAAGCAAGCAAATGTCACTACGGAAGTCCTGGAACAGCGTTTAACAGATCAGAAAAGTTTACGTCACACGTTACTGCAAGATCGAGCTGCTGTGGATTTCCTTCTCCTGGCGCATGGACATGGTTGTGAGGACTTCGATGGACTATGCTGCTTCAACCTCTCCAATCACAGTCAATCTATACATGAACAGTTGAGATGGTTGAAGGAACACACCCAAAGGATAGTGCAAGAAAAAGGGTTATTCGACKGTTGGTTAGAATCTGTATTTGGGAGTTTACCTAAATGGTTAATGGGAATAATAAAAGAAGGACTGAGGATATTAGGACTGTTAATTCTGATAATAATATGTATAAGTATTGCYGTGCGATGCGTAACGGCAAGCTTTTATAAGTAGTTTATAGTAATATGTATTAAAGTAACGGCATGCTTTTATAAGTAATATGTATGTAGTACATGGTGATATGTATAAGTATTGCTGGGCGATGTGTAACGGTGCGTTTTTTTTAAGTATATAACCCCTAGCAGAGAAGGATTTCTCAAAATGAACAAGTGAAAAAGGGGGGAATGAAGGACAGACTACCCACGCTTGGACTAATTGGAAGTAAATCGTGAGGACCGATAACGCTTAATTGGAAGATCGTAAATCGTGAGCGTGGATAACGCGCATCAAGGACGCTTCTAAATCATTCACCCAAACTTGGACAGATAAGAAAAATCACACTTGAGTAGTTTTGCAGGAACTTCATAAGGGATACCCCCACACTTGGACAGTTTGGAAAAGTGTTCAAAGAGAAAGATAAGAAGATSAGCCAATCCCGAAAAGACAAAACGGCATGGGGGGGGCGGTTAATGATCCTGTGTCTTTACTTCAAAATGTATAAAAACCTCTCGCGCAGATGCCTCGGGGTCCCTGGCAAGACCCCCTTCTAGGGTGAGCCTTGGACCCCAGCTAGCTGGTAATAAAATATCTCGCTTAGTCGGGTCTCTCTCTCTGCCTTTGTCCATCTGAGGTACGAGGGGCGTACCTAACTCTGTCCGAGGTACGAGGGGCGTACCTAACAAGGCATGTGGCTGTGGATTTATCAGCTGAGATTTGGCTTTCCAGCTATTGCCTGGCAGCCCGGTTCTCATTGTGTTTGCCCAAAATGGGCCCAAAGAACCTCAAAAGGAAAGAGAGTGTGTGTATGTGTGTATATGTGTATATATATACACACACATATATATATGTGTGCGTGTGTATATTTGATGGCACATTTGTCCAGTAAGCAGCCCTGAGGCTGGGCTGCCGCAGCTCTGTGTGGAACGCGTGATTAAACCAGGAGATTGCAGGCTCTTGCCTAACCGCTTGCGGTTCTTGTTTCTCACCAGTTTCTCATGCCCTTTCCTCATTTTACTTCTTCATTTTAAGGCAGAACATACCCACTTACTGTAATAAAAGGTAACTTCGCGTTGGTCACGGCTATCACCATTAGTACCATTGCTAATCTTCCTCAGCTGAAGAAAGTGAATATTATCACCATAGGGAACATGAGAATATGTTTTATAAATCATGGTCACTAAAAGAAATCACAAAATAAGCCCCCACCTTTGGGAATGAAGTTTCACAGCCAAGTGGATAAAACTATGTAGCTTACCTATTTATCAAGCAAAATCATCTGCAGTTTCATGTTAAGATAGGTGATAACAGGACTAAGGTTTAGGTCACCAAAAAGACTATAAATGATAGTTCTATTTCTAAGCAATAATACAAATAACAAGGTATGCTGGTAGTTTTAACGCTTCCTTTTAGGTTCATGGATCTAGAGCCATACCAAGGATTTGCGTCTGCCTGGCATTAGAGTTTGCAGAATAAACTTTGTGAGAGAAACTTTTGACTAAAAATGAGACTCTTGTAGGGAACTATGACACGGGAAGTTTTGTAACTGCAGGTTTTCCTCCCTCGTGACGGCTGAGCATTTTGACTGCAAAGCAGATCTTAGGGTGCCACTAAGACACATCCTGCAGAAGTTCACACATTTCTTTGGACATGAAATTAATCACATCTATAATAGAAATGTTTTCACCCAGGATGACTACACATGAGTAAGTGCATATATCTGGTTGTGGGATAGATGAATGTATTGGCTTCCTAAGTAAAAATGACATTAACTGAATTTAACACTGTAGCTTTTGGATTTTCATTCTCTTTTTAATGCTTAATTTCACTACTACTTTCTCACTGCAGTCATGTTGCAAACTGTTTTCTGGAATACAATTTACACAGATAATGAACAGTAAATAGAGATGGGAACTCCTTTTCTGCTTGCTTAACTTTTACTAAAGTGCCTTCTTACTATCAGTACAGAACTGTCACCTTCCTAGTGGATCCATGACGGGCTTTCAAAAGAATACTTGTCTCTTAACAAATAAATAAAGAAAGAAAAGATTGAAAGAAATAAATGCATTGTGTGAATTAATTTAAATACTTTAACAATACATAAAAGTGTGCACAACACTGGGGAATATATTCATTTTCTTGCAGTGATTGTACTGGTAAATCTCTCTTGTTAGCAGGAGGGCCCATGACCTGCAGCTGATGGCTGTATACGTACTTTGCTTTGTAACTTATGCTTTGTCCATCTTCATATAGGCACAACTATGAAGCTCAAGCTATGCCAATGGCCAGCCAGTACGGTCATCTAATGAAAGGGATACTCCTCAGTAATGATCTCTAAGTTACTTTTTAAATAAAAGTATATCCTGTTGTGTTATTCATTAGAGTTATGGGTATGTTATATTCAGGCTGCTAAGCTGTTTCATTGCAAACCAAGAATAAGAGGTGGAAGCATAGACTCACCTTAGGATTTTATCTAACCCTAAGGGTAGGTAGCAAAATCTTTCCATCTAAAGACATACTATGATGTGGCTTGTATTTAACAATATTTTAAGGTGTAATTTAGGAACCAGATGTGAATACTATTGACAGAAAAGAGGGAAGAATCTGTAGAGTACTCCAAGGCTCATAGGCACAGCAGTAGAGAGCATGCTTTGCCCGTGATCTCTTGTGTACCGTCTATACTAACTTTCCCTTCCTTTTTTGACCACTTTTTTTTCCCACATAAAACTAAGAAATCAGATATGATACAGGGAATAAATGTTAAAAAGGTATGTTTCAGGGTTGCTTTTGGTTTGTTTCCTGAGACATTGCTGTGTTAAAACCTGAATGTGCTATGCCATGCTAACCCAAAAGGTAGATGTACGATGGCAGAATTAGTTCTGTATTTAGATATCACGTAAGAGATCTAATTAATTGATGTAACCATCAATTATGATTGATCAACTGATCAATTGATTACATCAATGATTATTTGATGTAAATGATGTAATGTCTGAACATCATTATAGAGAAATAAAGAGAAGCTGGTTTATATTTTTCCCGGGACAATACCCCAGCTGTTTGGGTGTTGTGTACTGAAGCTCCTGCTCTGTCTGGATTTAAAAAGAAGACTTGATCCACTGTCCCCATGTCCACTGTTTGACCCTGTCACAACATTGTAGGAGTAGAAGGGAGAGCTCATTCTTCCTTTCCCTTTAATCTGAAAGTCAAATAAGATAAAGTGAATTTTCAGAAAGCAGTCTTCCTAAGAAGAGCTTGAAAATTGAATTCATATAGTTGAATAACAAAGTTTAATAATGATCTAAGTCTATAGGCATATTAAACTTGGAGGTGAAAATGCTTGAATTTCAGTGTAAAACTTATTCAAAAGAAAAAGCACTTATTCTTATATTAATTTGATAAAGATAGAAGGTGAGTGAAGGAGTGTAAATGAACATAAAGATTTTTACCTGCTTTGTCTATTATGAATTATACAATGATGCAGTTCAAAAATATAATCAAATAATGGGGGAGTTATATTAATATTTTATGTGGAAATAAATCTGGCAGAAGACAGATGCCATTTCACAAACTGTCAGTAGATGGCAGAAACAAGTTTTATACAAAGTTTGGGTGTTCCTAAGTATTTTTAGGAGGATAGAGTTACAGGAAGTTTCCCCGTGGCTTTTCCTGGACACATTTTCAGCTTTATGAGAGAGCAGGGATTTATGGTGAGAAACTTTTCTCTTTTTTTGGGGAGGTTTTATGAGATTACTGGCTAGCTAAAGCTCTTTTATATTCTGCATTTCTTTTGGACTGAGTAATGTTCTGTTTAGAAGATTATTATCAAAAATATATGGTGTACTTTCAAGTCTATGGGGAAGAAATGGGAGAAGAGTTGCTTTCTGTACGTAAAAAGACTTGCTAAATAGCAGTCTCCTTAGATTAGCTCTGCATTCACAGTAAGAAGATTGTATTGATTTAATGAAAATAGTTTTTAATACAGTTCAGGATTTAGTCAAATTCCATGAAAGGTTTCCTCCATATAAACTCTGCATTAGAGTTTCTGCAATTGTTAAATCTCTTGGCCATGTTGAATTACTAGATTGTCATCAACATTGTCATGAGACACTTCCCAAGGGTAAGCTGTGAGCAGTAGCAGATTTTAGGCAGTTTATACCAAATGGACAAGCTCTTAAAACCTTTCAGTGTCTTCTCTGACTCTTTAATAAACAGAGCAGCTTCTCCAAGTTCTGGGATTGCATGCCCTATTGGATGGCTTCTCTCCTTACATCTAGATAATGCTCTTTTTTTGTCAAACTTGAGGACATTTCTGAATTAAAAGTGATATATAAAATGTAATTTCTCTCATGTTAGACTACAAATCACAAGTCTTGTGTTGTAACAGATGTTAATTTCATTGCTTCATAGGGTAATTTAAACAAAGTATGAAGGTATGTATAAATATTTTAACTATGAATGCCAGGATTCAGAAATGAGAGAGAAAATAGGTATTAATTAAATTGGAAGAATCGTATCCTTCTTTCACCTAGTTCCTGGGTATTACTGAAATTTTAAGAAGGAAGAAAGATTTAGTGGATTTTTATTCATCTATTCTCCTGAGGCTCCATATTTTGTTTGTTTACATACACATATATGTCTATTGCCCAGATAATCAGAATATCGTAGAGGATGCTGGTTACCTTTTGTTATTTGTGTATACCAAAGAGTCTCTCGAGAGCATTTGAAATATAGTTATTTCAAATGAAAGTCTAGAAATAAGATGGGAAGAGATCTGCCTCTCTGTTTCCCTCTTTCCAAATGGTTTCCAAGTCTCCTTTCATGCATTCCTTGCAAAATGAGTATTCAGTTATCGCTCTGTGATTTGGTGACTTGTTGAGATTTCTTAATATAAGTTATGTTCTATCAACAGTCTTATACCCAATAATGTAAATTCTAAGAAAGCTTGCAGAATGGGTAATGGTATGGAGACTAGGGTCCTCCAAGGAAGCAGCATGAATCCACCATGGACAGTGAGCTACTACCTTACTGTATCATCATTGTGAATAATTCGTTTCAGTCATTGTGTCATAATCATGGGTCCATTTTAGTAACTGTCTACTGAGCATAGTTTGCATCTTCAGTGGAGAATATGAGGAATAGATGATCTTACTGATTGTCCCATATTTTATACTTTCTGCTCAAAGCGTGTCCCCTACCTCTGTGGAGCCTGCACAGTGCATGTGATCTGGGTAGCAGTTCGGTGAATAACCAGCAGTTGCCTATGAAATCAGTCATTTTTTAGGAAGCAGATTCCTGTACGTGTTAAACACAGCAGATTTTACCAAATAGAAATTTAAGTGTTGTCCTCTAAATCAGGAATACCTCTCCTTCATGATAAGTGCTTTGATTGCTTCTTGAGTAAAAGGGAGGGCCAGATAGTTGGAATGTTACAGAATCGGACACTACGGTGACTTCTGGATAGCCACTTAATATGTTTTTGTTGTTGTTTGTTCCCGGATTAGAACAAAGATGGATAGACAAAGAAGAGCATTGAGCATCTCCAAGGAACTGTAAATAATGCAAGAGAAGATGAGATCCCTCAAAAATTTTTTTCTTTGTGAATGTCTGTTTACATTAGTTTTCTGGAACAGTATCATCTTGTCTGTGGGAAATGAATTCTCTACATCTGTTTCTCATTATCTTCCAGAAGAGAATTCTGACAACGAAATCAAGAGTCTGCCATTATTGCATAAAAATAGTCATGAACCCAGAGCTAGTTTTGATTGGGTTGTAATACAGAACACTACAGAAAGCCTATCACTATCAGAAATCAAAAATAAAGATGTAAATAAATTAATAGATCTATTATCAAATTTCAAACATGGCTCCAGTTTACAATATCTGACATTGTCAAATTTTTCAGTGGACTGGAGATATTTTGTTGAAATTCTTCAGACTATATGGCACTCATCCATTGAGTACTTAAATATCAACAATATGACACAGCTGTCAGAAATTAAGCCCTACAACTTTAATTATTCTGGTACCTCTATGAAGGCACTGACAGTGAAGAAGGTTTCAATCACAAGCTTATATTTTTCACAGGATGACCTATACAAAATATTTTCAGACATGAACATTGCAGCTTTGACCATAGCTGAATCAGAGATGATACATATGTTGTGTCCATCCTCTGACAGTCCCTTTAAATATTTAAATTTTTTAAAGAATGATTTAACGGATCTGCTTTTTCAAAGATGTGAAACATTAATTCACCTGGAGAAGTTGATTTTGCAGAGGAATAAGTTTAAGAGCCTTTCCAAGGCGAGCTTAATGACAAGCCATATGAAATCGCTGAGGTATCTGGACATGAGCAGCAACATGCTGCACCATGACGGGGCTGAGCAGCACTGCCAGTGGG